GCAAGTGTAGCCCCTTCCACCTTAAGTGGAGTGGCTACACAAATCTAGTGTTGCTAGCACTGTAATAAGTCTGGTTGATTTGTAGTCTGGTATCATTTGGTCATTCCTGGGTGTTCTGCTCTATATTATACCTGTAATTGGTGTGTGAGCCTGCCACAGAGTGGTGCAGCCAATAGGGGAGCATTAGGAGTGTCTATGCCTCACCAGCCAATCACTAGGAGTTCCATGGCCAGTGGTGCATGCTGGGGAAGTACAGAAATAATACTCAGGAATTGCAATGCACTCAGTCAGCCCCGGGCATAGCCTGGGGGATGGAATGTACAAGGTTTGAGAAGCTGAATAGGCCTTAAGCCTGGCAAAGGCCACATGTGGATCCAGGTGGGGTCTGGAACTATCTAGGGAGGAGAACCAGAGGAGCCCTTTGACTCTTGGAGGTGCCAGGAAAGCCAGGATGGCATTGATCTCAGGAACAAGTCTGGTGTCTCTCCCAGTGAAAATCTCATGCACATTCATATTCAGCTGTTGTTCTACTGCACAGTGTCATCCTCTGTTCTACTAAAGTATTTCTACACTGCGAAAGCCTGAAGGGATTGGTGAGTCTGCATTTTGGCTATAGATGTCTCAAGCCCTATACCCTCTTTCCCAGTTTTGCTGTTCTTCAACAAAGCATCTAAAAAGTCCATAAAGTGACTGGCACCCAATTTACTGTTTACATCCCACAACCCAACAAAGGATCCACCCCTGAGAGTGAAATGCCAGCCTTCTCTACCCTTTGGGGGTCCACCTCAGGCCTCTGGGGGTCAGGGAGGTGCTACACAAAGGTAAACAGAATGCTTCTGCATTCTTCTACTTACCTTACTAGTGTCCCTAATGTGCAAGTATGCTGTACATATTTTTAGATTAGGGCAAGAAAGAAACATTTACAAAGTGGTTTACTTCTACGTTAATGGCACTTTAATAGTTATATGACAAAACTTTTAAATGCAACAGCAACTATAGAAATATTTAAAGGACTGTAGTATGATTTTGATTGTCACATACTGTAATCTAGAATATTCTAGGGGCTTCCACTAATGCTAACACATCACAATCTGATTGTACAATCTTCCTTGGTTTTGCAAAAAAAAACAAAGTTCTCCTAAAGTGGTTACAGATTGAATGGATTTTTCAGGTAAACCCTAACAATGCATTGTTTTAATAAATCTAAAGGGTATTTTACAAATTTGTATTATCAGGCTGCACAGTATATAGCACGTTTTAGGGTGAATGCACCCTGACATTTACATTTTGCTTCTGAAATGTGTTTGTGAAGCATTTTTGATGGTTCTGGAATGGAGTATTTGAGCTGGATTCTATGGAATACCTTAAATGTATTTATATTGCTGTTTTTGGAAAATAATTTGTACTGCGTTGCTTTCTTTTTTACCCTCTATATTGGTTAATATGACTATCTCCCAAACCGATCTTAAGGGCAAATCATTTTTTCTTATAAGCACATAAAGCATACTGTGCTGACTTGCTGCTGTGTCTGATGCCTGCCTACACTCTCCCTAAAACTGAAAATCACTGAATGGATCTCAGTACTTGGTGTTTTAACATGGAGTGACTGTACATTTTTGCAACGTTAGGACAAGCAGCAGCTTGAAGCATGTCTTTCCCTAATATTGGATTACTCAGAAGCGCAGGTAAGATTTTGTTTCCTGTTATCAGAAAACACACCAACTGCTAATGTTATTATTATTATTTAGGATTTATATGGTACCAACAGTCTGCAAGTTAAGACAAGAGGGTTAGGAGGTTAGGAGAAGCTCATGAGAACTTGCAATTGAAAAATTGACTGGTATCACTATAAACACTTCCAAATATATGCACAAAGGAAATTAAACCATTTTACACTTTTTTTAATCAAAATTTAAAGTTTTATTCTAAACATTTGGAACAAAAAAAATTAAAGCAAAATGAAAAACTATACAAACATCTGCTATAAAAATATACACATTTTCAACCTTTCATACCACTTTTTTTCTTACTGTTACTTTTGTATAACTTGTACATTTACTGCCACCTGGATTCCACCTTAGGAAATAGCACTTATACAGTTTTTAGGGGCAGTATCAATTTTACTGAGTCTTTGTGGTTGTCACCACTATAAATTTTCATCACAGTTTGGAGTGCTAAAGCTGAAGATCTGCATACCGCCTAACATTTTAAATATAGATGCTAAAGCACATCAGGACACCTGGATTCTTTTAAAGATGTTTTACTTAACCATTCCGCCTTTTTGCAGTGTAAAAATCATTTATTAGGTATCCATGTAGTAAAACAGTATATGACAATTATGGAATCATTAATGTTGAGATGTTAAAGCCCAACTGAAACTTCAGTTTAAAGCAGCTAAATATATTTCAGGTGCATCAAAATAAAAAGATGTGCAAAGTCTAACAGCTCATTTTCTTTAGAAAGCAGCCACAGCCTAAATCGAAAAGCCTTTCACTTTCTGGTATTCTGCAGAGGACTCTTGCTCTCAGTGTGAAAGCAGTGATCTATCAGCAGAGGTCCAGCATATCCCCTTCTGAATCAGAGCTCGAGCTGTCCAATCAGCAGGAACATGAGCTTTGCTGATTGAAGAGCTGTAGGTTTGGCTTAGCAAGGGGCATGACAAATGTCGGCAGAAAGATCAAAGTTACCACTCTGCAGTAGGCTAAGATTTTGCCCATGTTTCGTTTTGATGCACCAGGAATGGGTTTAGCTGAAGGTTTGGTTGAGTTTTAATCAGTGAACATTCTTGTTGATAATGTTACATTTATACACAAATGTGAAATAAAATCCTGGCCAACAGTTGATAGCGTTTATAGCATATCATACAGGAGGCAGGTAAAAGGTAATGTACACATTTAAAGCAAAAGTAAATGTACCCATAGACATGAGGTCACCATCGGATGATCCAGCTTTAAAAGAATCGGCAGTGACCATATTTCAGAGGCGTGTTCAGCCGCTGCGAGTGCTGAGTTAGCAAACTCAGCACTCTCTGTTAGCAAACTGAGTTAGAGGCTAAATGTTGTGCTGCAGGTCAGCGCTCAGCACTGCTAACTTAGCACTTGCAGCAGACGTGAATGTGGATGTAGAGCGCTGAGTGTGACAGAGAGGTGAGGACAGAGCACCAGCAGCCATTTTAACTGTGGACACACCTCGCAGCGATGGAGAAAGGTGCCTGGACCCCGATGAAGGAAATCACAATTCAGTGTGGGAACCTACAATTTAATGTTTTGGTGGACGAGCACACCATATATTCATTGGAAAATGGTATATATTAGGCAAAAATATTATCCTCCGCCATTTTGCTTAGCACTGTGCTGCCGAAGCGTTCAGTGAAGCTGCTGCAGCGAACTGAAGTCCTGCAGAACAGCTACTCAGCACTTGGCTAACGAACTGAGCACGACTCACCTAAAATTGGTGGAAAAAAAATTCCAGCACAAGGGGCGAAGGGGGTTCTTCACAGTAAGATCAGTTAGGGTCTGGAACTCACTGCCACAGGCGGTGATTTCAGCAAATAATGTGGAATTGTTCAAGAAACTTTTGGACGATTTCTTAAGGGACCGTAATATACAGGGGTACGGGTACTCCTAGAATGAGATCCTAATAGGTTGGACTTGATGGAGTAATGTCTTTATTCAACCTCAAATACTATGTAACTATGACTCAGGTGATGTCCACAGACACCTCCAGCTAAATGTTCTCAAGGGAAATTATGCTTGGTTCATTAACCATGAAGCTATTGTTTCCTAGGGAAAAGCTAGATGTGTCTTCCTTCCATTCCCTTCGCTGCCAGCATAAAAAGAAAGTCTTCACTTGGCCATATATGTTCATGTCTGTACAGGAAGCTGGCCTGCAATCCGCCATCTGATCTCAATGGCAAACTTTACAATGGCTGGATCCATTGTAAGCAGAGTAACTTAATATGTAGTAGTCATTACTTAAATAATCCAGCCAACTATCTCGTTATCCAGATATCAACAGTCATTTCCAGTGTTTAGTGCACAGTGTGACATAATATTGCAAGTAACATTTTAAGAACATTTTAAGAAGAAAAAAACATTTTTAAGAACAGCTTAAACAGATAATTCACATGACCACCTGACTTTCTTTACTATGGAACAATGTCTAAGAAAGTGTGTTGAGTGTTGAAAACATTCATAATTTGCATATCCACACCTTCCCCAAAAAGACTGTTATGATCAATTGTAAGAACTAGAAGCCAATGCTGTCCATAACATTACTAATCAAGGGTTATATGCTATTTTTTCTCACAGGTCAGATAGAATTATAAATTACATTGTATAAGAAAGACTTTGGATGTGTCCAGGAATGTTTTTATAAAAAGTATTGGATTATTACATTTAGCCATCAAGGCCAGTACGATTTTTGATCACTTATTCTACGAGATGAAGAGCTGTATGAGCAATGAGGACTAAAATGGTTGGCTTGCAAGTCATAGGCGTTTTCCTTATTGTGCTGCCAAGGCAAGTCATTTTCATAGTATACACATCAGATTAAACTGATAGCAATGGAAGCTTGAAAAAGTGCAGAGGACTGATCAACTTTGTTCACTAATTAAGATTATTTGGACCTATATTTGCCAATATATGTTTTAAAGTTAGTTTGCCATAACCAATGTTTCACCTGAGATTTAAAACACATACAATGCCATACATACACCTGGGATAAATTGCTTCCAGTTGCATGGCCTTGGTTTGTTACACCTTTTTTACTTGTTAACTTTTCTCATAACTTCCCAGTGCAGCTTGTCTTGGTCTCCACACCCCAACTACAATCGGGGTTGACGTATGTTAATTAATTTCAATGTACACTGAAGTGTATCTCAAGAACTTTGTTATTCCAATTACATTGCTATATTGAGTTAAAAAGTGTTTTAAAAAATTGTATTTTGCTGTACTGACCAACATTTTTTTTTCAGGTCAGTTGAACAGGTCTTTCAAAGTCCATCAAAGCTTGCCATAAATGCGCAAGCTACAACACGTTAATGCTTGAGTTCCCCATTGTTCTTCATGTGAGCAAGCATTTGTTAATCAGTAATTAATTGGAAGGTATTCTTAGCCTAATGTTTCAGCAATTCTCAAGTTGAATTCTAAAACATCTCACATGTCCTTTGGGAATTTGCCATCACAGCTTGTTTCCTTTGCTAGCTTACCGCATCACTCAGAGTTAAAACAGAATAAAATAATTGTTCATCAGTTTTCCAGACAATATGTAACATACATTCTTCTTTCCTTTGACGTCTGTGTCTCAGATATGAAAAACGGGTATTACTGTCACAAGAGTGAGGATTACGATGGCCAATGTTCCAGTTACTCCAATGGCTGAATTTTCTGGTCTTTTTGTCGGCTGTGGTGGAGATGGTATGAACATGGTTGCCCTTGCCAAGTTGGATGGATCTGATTTATGATTGGCTTTGTCTATGGCGACCAAGCGGAAAAAAAGTACGGTTCCATTTTTTAAAGTACCATTTACGGGGGTCAATTCGAAATATTCCATAGAACCAGCTGGCTGTGGTGCTAGACTGGAAATGTTTACAACTGTGCCATTTTCAAAATTAGCCATCAGTTCATCGCTGTCACGACTTATCCGTAAATCGTACCTTGAAGCTGAAATTGAATTGAGGAAGAAAAATAAGAGTCAAAGAAATTATTGATTAACATTATATATGATTTGAAATCTACCGCCTTTTCAGCGATCTTTTACTTTTACATCCTTAATATTAATAATACAAACGCTAAGTTACAGTTTTGTTTTCACAGATATTCTGCCTTTAGTACAGATTTCTCCTCCTCCTTCCTCTTCCACTGCACACCTCGTCCACTTTATTGGCCAATTAGACCTCCAAACCACTATGATTCCATGTGCCTGATCTCTTTCCCTTGTCCCCAGCCACCACAACATGCCAGACCCTGATCACTCACCCTATCCAAGTGCCTGCTGAGTATAATCCACAAACAGTCTTTTTTTGTGTGTGGGGTCCCCCTTTATTATCTATTCCAGACCCTAATTTTGGATAAGGGTCTGGTATAGATAAGGGGAATCCCCAGTCACTTTATTTACAAACAGAATGAAGCAACAAGGAGCAATAATGTACCAGCAATTTAAACATTCTTTTCTTTTCCTAGTAAATGTCAGTTTGCTGTAGTGCAATGTATGTATTGAGCAGATGTGCCACTTCACAGGTAGGTTCAGGGCATCACCCAAGCATGCTATGTAAAGGAATTGAACATTTTTAATTTTGTTCTTTAAGAATTTTTACCACTTGCTGTCTGGAGCAATGTCTTACTATTTGCACACACATGATAAAATCTGAAATTTTGGCTAGAAAACAGCTTCAAACCCCCAAACAAATATATCTTTTCTGAAAGCAGAGGCCAATGTTTATCAGACCAGTATTTCTAGGATAATATACACTAAAATGAAATTTAAAGTACAGAAACAGAAAATAATTCCCATTTTTTTGGCAAAATATAAAAGGAGGTCACATTGGGTAAATAAATACCAAACATGTCAAGCCTTAAAATTGCGTTCGCCCGTGAAACCGTAAAAAAAAAACCTACAAACCCCATATTTTTCATAGGGGACACTTTAAAAGATTTAACTGTTCATCAGTTTAGTGTTAACAGTGATTGATGGCCCTAGGATTTTTGCTCTCACTCTGATGTTCGCTGCGATATGTGATATGTGTAGTGCAATTTTTATTTTTGTGTCTAAGCACACCAACGCATGTTTGTCTTCTGTACACTTGGGGAGCGAGGGACTATAAAAAAAATGTTTTTTGCATTTTTGTAAAAAAAAAATGAATGTTACTTTAATGTTTTTGATTTTTTTAAACACTTTTAAAAAACATTTTTACACTAACTTTATTGCTATCACATAGGGGATAACAAGCCACCTATGTAATAGCTAATAGGGTTTGACAGGTCCTCTTTAAGGAGAGATCAGGGGTCTTTCAGACCTAGGGACCCCAAAGAAGCTGATGAAGCAGAGATCTGCTTTACCAGCTTCTTCTCCTGGCACTAAGAGTTGGAGAATGTAAATAGTGACACCGGAAGTGATGTAATGCACATCACTTCCGGGTCCAGTGATCGGAGGAGAGATCAGCGGCTAGAAGCTCGCTGATTTCTCTCTGATCGATGCAGGGAGACCCGCCGTGCCAGTCCCAGGCCCGCAAGGGGGGACAGCGGAGCACACTCCGCTGATCGGTACCGGTGATCTGGCGGCTATATAGTTTCTGGATCGCTTGTACCTGAACTATAATCGTCTGCTGTTTACACTGATACCAAGAACACGGCTGCAGCAGCAGCTGTGTTCTTGGTATAACCACTGCAGTGGCCGGCCATATATGTATGGCCATCAGCATGAAGTGGTTAAGTCACTTTTCCCCACAAAACAGAATTTGTTTTTCTTTGGCATACAGATACAGTATGTTCCTTAGGGCAGTGCCCAGATCCCCATACACTTTGTTTGTCAATATCTTCCCTATTAACCCACAAAATGGGCATTAATAATCCTTAAGATTCATCTACTAGTGACTTTAATGGGGTTCATATTCGGCATTTGCTAGTCCCGCCCCGAACTGAAACTAGGTATGTTCGGCTCATCACTACTAGTGAGAACTTCAGGGTACAACAGCAAGAAAACCAATAGTAGTTTTATAGTTCATATAAAGAATTCATACCATTTCCTTGATCCAGGTCATCGCCAGTTGCTGTCCATTTCAATATGACTTTCATATCTGTAATTTCTGCTTCCAGGTCAGTGATTTTACTTGGGCCATGCATATCTGGAATAGGACCTGATGGCACATCAGAGATCACAAATGCACCACCTGAAGATGTTCGTGAAAAAATTTCCACATTCAGATTCTCTACGGTATTGTTGGGTTTTGGGGGGTTAGCAATAAGAGTACCTGGAACAAGAGGGGAAAACAATTGATTAATGAGGGAAGTACATAGCTAAGTGTTACATACTTGTAACCAGAGAGAAATTATTAGCTTAATGTATGCACACTTCAAAATAAAAAAGGCAATCATTAAAGGGTAGATCATGCTTATTAGTATGAGGGAAATTAGTTTTTGTAAAAGACAATAAGCAAATAGTTTATTTATTTAATAGTTCTAATATTTAATGTATTTAATAGTTCTAATAGTTTAGCTATTACAATAGCTAATAGAGCAAAGTGACTCATAATAATGATACAAGGAGATTTGAATGATATTGTCCAATTAGATATAGTAAATACTGATATCTGCTTAACTTTTATAATGATCTTACCATTTTCAATGTAGCCAGGTAGATATAATGCCCGACTGTTTGCTAATGCTAATTTTGAGTCTTTCTCAAAATTCTGAACCCGCACTTTCAAACTGTATCTGCCATTTTTTGTGTAGCTTGTGAAGTATCGGCAATATATTCCATCATTCTTGATTATATCAGCACCTTAGAGAAAATACAGATAAAATGTGTCAATCGTGCTCATTCAGTTCTAGTTATTCAATTACTGTATATAAAGTGTATGTTAATCTGAAACTAGTTTTTTTTTGCAGTCTTGTATACAGCG